ATGAAATGCACAACTTGACAGCAAGTCATGTGGACTATGTTATCCTATGACTGCAACACCACCAACTATACTTGTAACTCGAATTTACAATTTGGTACCTAGTGGGCCAGAAGCCCAAAAATAGTCACTAGTCAGGGAATGTGAGTGACATGGTATCATGAAACCAAAGCCGGGATAATATAAATGTAAACTGTAAAGTAGACAATCTTTCCTGACACGTCCAACTCACCAAGTAAAACTACTACAGCACTGGTATAGAGTTTTTCATAGCCGATACTCTGTATTACATCTCTGAAATCCCTATATACAAGCCCCTGGATTATATTTAATAGAAGCTGCCAAAAAATTAGAATTGGTTTTTGCATTTTTTTGTGTGTCAAAATAAAGAAAACCCATCCTAATGGGTAATCTATTCCTTAACAAAAAAAAATGGAGATTATATAATGCTTACTCTCAAACTTTTTGTTTATACAGTTGTGATATTCTTTGTTTCCATCTTTATCTTGGGATTGGGATTCTTATATCTAATATCTAATGACCCAGGACTTAATCCTGGGCGTCAGGAGTAAAAATCCAAAGTTTTGGGGAAAAGAAAGTTTCAGCAAGTTATCCATTGGCCTATCTTTATAACGCCGCAACTTAAATCTTCTGCTGTATTTACATTGCTTAGTGGCAACAGATATATCAATCTCAAAAAACAAGGCATCATACAGTCAGGCTGAAATACAAATTGACCCAACAGAACGGGAATCCTTAACCAAGAGGGGAAAAAACTATCAGGCTTAAAATTGGTCGATTCGAGCAAACTCACCGCTGCTATCGTAGGGGTTGTATCCCGCCGCCTTCATAACCCCGCCGGAAACAACGAGAGAGACGAACCGCCGAAACCCGCAGCAATTCCGCCGGATCCGGGCACCGGCGCGTCTGAGCTCAGGTAAAGGACATAGGTGCACACATGTACACCCAACATTTTTTTTCGCAAAAATCGTAGTTAGTACCTTGTAATTAGATCAGATCCGAATACAAATAGCTTAAATTAGGGTTCAGGCACTCGGTCTCGCACAGCAGGAGGGAAAGATAAGGTGCGCATACCTGGTGGGTGCTCGTCGCCGGTGAAGGGCCCGGCGGGTACCTAGCAAAGGGACCGACGAAGACCCGGGAACCTGGCGTAGCTTAGGGCGTCGCGCCGGCGGAAGCGGTCGCCCAGCTGCGCCACGAGAGGGAGAGCGCGCGTGGGGGCGAACGGGAAAAGAAAAGGAAGGAAGGGGTGAAGGGGGAGATGTTTTATTTCGTAGGCTCTCGTAGGCTCGTAGCCGCCGATTTTCAGCCTTTTCTGCAGGCCTGTTACTGTCCTGACTGAAATTTACGATCGTTTACGATCAAACGAATATACTGTTTAGCCGTAAGACTGTCTCGAGCGACCGTGACCCTGTCCAACAACCGTGACCACACCCACGATCTTGAGATTTTTTTTGTGTCATTATAAAAGATTGTAATTTTTTGTGTGTCCCTGGAAAAATTCAGCGGTCTTCAACGTCACTACTCTAACTTTTTCGGGTTCCGTCAGTTCAGGCTTGAACGCCATCAAACCGCAGGTGTGAAAAGACAAAAATGCCCTTAAATTTAAATATGTTATTAATTTTTTTTGAGCATCTTAACGACTTTAAATGAAAAAATTCAAAACTAGAAAGTTGTAGATCTCGTCGAGATCTATAATTTTTATATAAAATTTATTTTTATTTAATTTCGCAAAAAAAATATGATGATTTTTCTAAGATATATTAATCATATCAAATCATTTTTTTATGAAATTAAATAAAATAATTTTTATATGAAAATTATAGATCTCGACGAGATCTACAACTTTCTAGTTTTGAGTTTTTCATTTTTAAAGTCGTTAAGATGTTAAAAAAATTAATAACATATTTGAACTTAAGGTCATTTTCGCTTTTTTCACACTGCTTGACTTGAGCGTTAGAGCCTCGAATCGACTAAGAAGTGGCATGAAGGACCCGAAAAAGTTAAAGTAATGGCGCTGAAGACCGCTGAATTTTTCAGGAACACACAAAAATTACAATCTTTTATAATGACACACAAAAAAAATCTCCACGGTCTTCTCCAACTACATCACGTGCAGATGAGTCAGGGTACACAGATCTATACCTGACACATAAAGTAGATTTTTTATATAAATATTTTGTTGAAGGCTATGGTCCTCTTCAGTTTACCCGTATTCAACTTGTTCGGCTTATTTTTTCAGCTGGAACCGTGTTTTTCTCTCACAACCATTTAGCCGGAACAGTGTTTTTCAGCCAGTTTCAGCCAAGATTCAGCAAGCCGAATGGGGCCTATAGGTATTATGTTGCAAACCTATTTTGAGTTTGGGTTCCGCAATGGGTCTCTTGGTGGAGACGGTCTAAGGTGCGTCGGCCATCGGAACTCGGGACTTGGGAACACGTTTTCTTTCACGAGAAAATGCCTCAGCTTCGCAAAAAATTGTTTTAGGTTTAGATTGTATACATAGAAGGAAAACATTTTACTTCTATATACAAAAATCGCTCGTTTCCTGATAAAAAATAATGCCAGTTTAAATGAAATTATTCCATTTCACAAAAAATATAGGTTAAATTAAAGTCCTTCTACATTCGGGGGAAAAGTTCTTATTTCACTAGAAAGATGTTCCATTGGAACCACTAACTTAACAGAAATATTTTATTATTTATAGATTATTGACTTGTATAGTGAAGGAAATTGAAATAAAAATAGACATGCAAAAACAAGTAGAAAGGAAAGAAAAGGAAAACATACTTTTTTATGATAATGAAAAATATTTTAGCTTCATGTTCTTCACATAAGAGGAATCAGATCAATTTAATTTAATATTTAAACCAAGAGTGTTTTTTCTTTCTTCGTCTCTTTGACCAGCAGCGACAAGCGGGTCTAACGTTGTGTTCGGCTGGCTGGCTGGCTGATTGCCGGCTGGCCAGCCACCTCACAAAATTACTATTCACGTCCTAGAGAACAGTATTTTTCTCTCACAACAATCAGCCAAAACAGTATTTTTCAGTCCCGCCGAACACAGCCTAGGTCACTCCTGCACCTTTCCTATTACCGGTCACGATCCCACCAACAGTATTCCATTTTCTAAATAACCATCCAATGGCCTAGATTAATTCAAACATCCCTAAAAAACATGACAAAGTACAACTGCTTGGCCAGGACTCTGCCACCATAGTTGGATTTTATGACCATCTAATGGCCTAGATTAATTCACAAAGCCTGTAACAAGATACAGTAAAGTCCAATGACGACCAGAGTGTTATGACCTAGCTTGTGTTTGTCGGGTATGCACTTCATCACAAGCATAAGCATGCTAGAAACTTCATTTACATAAATTATGTTAAGTACGACCGAACCTGACACTATAGAGTGGCAAGTGATCCGGTTATAGTTGTCAGACGATGCCACGTTAGCGAGCAAACAATCAAAGTTGTGACTATCAAATGGTCTGACCCAAGACATCAAACACTCTAGTAGGCCATGCAAATGGAGATTTGTCCACCGCACACCTCTCTAGGGACCACATGCCAACACGAAATACATTACACCATCTCCCTCTTCTTTCTTGTCGTTCTCTTGACACGACATCTCTTTAGCAAGAAAAGAAGCAGTAGCAAGAAACGAAAAAAGAGGACAATGAAAAGGAGAAGAAGGAAAAGAAGAAAGAAGAAGACAAGGAAGAGGAGGAGCACCAAGCTGCGGCGAAGTGACCCAAGGCATTTCCTATTGCTAGGGCAGGAGCATGGAAGAGCTCCTTCTCCTATCATGGTGGGGAAGAAGAGGAAAGAGGAGGAAGAAGAAGCTTCACCAATAAGTCGTCTACTCTAACCTAGGCTCCAATGGCGGATCTAGAAAATACATTTGGGGGGGCTGGGACAAATAGAGCTATTTTTCAATGAGCTGGAAACTAGCTTCTCTACACTCTACTATGGGCCGCTGAAACACATATCCTGGCCCAGGACGGCAGCCCAACTCGAAACTCATCTTCAACCTCTGTCGGGAGCACTCCAGCACCTTCTTCCCTGTTGTTAATGGCTGAAAAATCCATGGGGGGCTAAGGGGGGCTCCAATGGCGCGACCAGGGTAGGGGGGGCTTGAGCCCCGGTAGCCCCCCTGGCAGATCCGCCCCTGCTAGGCTCCTTGGCCCGTGCTCTTGAAATCTTGGTAAGCTCTACACTAATAATCGTATAATTCTCCAACTAACTTTATCGTTGTTCCAATTTACCAGACGGAGTACCCTTATGGCGGGAAATAATAATGTGTAATTACTAGAAAATAATACTTAAGTTCCCTAATTTTAAAGTTGAATAAAAAACCACTGAATTAGTATTAAGCCAAAACTTAAACTTTATTCGGCTGTTTTGTTAGTTTCAACCCAAAACTGTGCTGGTCATCAGAACTTAAATTAAAAGCTGAAGCTTATTTTTGTTGTGGACTAAGACAATCTCCCGAGATGAGCCTGATTTGGGCTTTCCCTTCAACACTGTGCACCCACCCGGCCTTCGAGCCCAACAACCTGGCCTGGGGCTGCCTTTTCTTATGCGGTCTGAGCCGGTGAAATGAATCCGATGGCCATGATCTCACCCATGCTACTCCTCTTCTTCGATAATCATTTGATTCAGTTACTACTGTGAAGACCAGAAACAGAGCGCGTAGAAGTTTTTCAACTGTCTATGTACGTACCCTGCAACTGATCCTGATCGAGATGTTCAGCGAACTAACCGACCTGTACTTGAGGAGCGTGCTCAGGCATCTTTGTGGAGCCATGCCGCACGGCTCGAGCAGTTTTCATTGGCCGGTACGATCCTGATGCGAAATCACGCCCCATGCATGCCTGCTGCTCCGGATCCTTCACAGCGCCTCCTTCGCTTTAGCTGCAGTGCTATATGAAGAGCACCACAGATTGTGCAATGGCGGCCAGAGCAAAGGCGATCACGACAATGTCGTCGAGCACACCGCTGATCTCCTCCATGTCGCTCGCCCTGCTCTCCCTGCTACTACTTCTCTTCTCGGCCTGTTACACCGCCCGTTCCTCCGCCGCGGACTGCGACCCCGCGGACCGCGCCGCGCTGCTGCGGGTCAAGGCGCAGCTGGGCGACCCGGCCGGGCTCTCCTCGTGGCTGCCGTCCACCAACTGCTGCGCGTGGGACCCCTCCGTGTTCTGCGACGCGGCGGGCCGCGTCACGGGGCTGGCGCTCTACTCCCTCCCCGACGTCTCGGCGCGAGTCCCGCCGGCGCTCGGCGACCTCGCCGCGCTCGAGATCCTCCAGGTCGACTCCGTGCCTGGCCTGGCGGGCCCCGTCCCGGCCTCCTTCGCCAACCTCACGCGCCTCCTGGACCTCGACATCAACGGCACCTCCATCTCCGGGCCTGTCCCGGGCTGCCTCCTCGCCGGCGCCGTCAGCCTGAGGACGCTCGTCATCGCCAACAGCAAGCTCGCCGGGCCCATCCCGGCGTCCCTGGCCGCGCTCCCCGGCCTCAGGTACCTGGACCTCAGCGGCAACATGCTCAGCGGCGCCATCCCGCCGGGGCTGCTGCACGGGGGCTCCAGGTTCCTGATCCTGTCCAACAACCGGCTCACGGGGGAGATCCCCAGCGACTACGGCGACGGCGACGTCGACACCATCGACCTCTCGCGTAACCAGCTCACCGGTGACCCCTCGTCGTTCCTGTTCGGCATCACGAAGCCGGCGGTCAAGATCGACCTGTCGTGGAACCAGCTCGAGTTCGACCTGACGGAGGTCAGCTTCCCGCACCACCTCAGGTTCCTGGACCTGAGCCACAACAGGGTCAGGGGCAGAGTGGCCAAGTCGCTGATGGACGTGAAGCTGGAGCACTTCAACGTCAGCTATAACGAGCTCTGCGGCGAGGTGCCGGCGGGAAGGTTCATGTCGATGCACGGGGCAGACTGCTACGCGCACAACAAGTGCCTGTGCGGCACGCCGCTCCCTCCCTGCAACTGATAGTTCGTGGTTCACTGGTTCATGAGGCTAATGCAATGATCACCGGTTTCATCTTGTGTGAACAAGTTTACCAGAACAACGAATCAGTTGGTCGGATTTTCACGCTCGCCGTTGGCTTTGGTCTCGGATAATTTTAGTTTTTCTCCTGATATGCACTTGTTTCAGTTAAGTTTCAGCTACAACGTACAGTAAGTTCAGTTTCCTAAATGAGGAGTACAGGAGCACATCTCTTAAATTGAATGGTAAAGTGCATTTGCAGTTTGGCACTCAGTAAAATTTCTGCATTAACTAGCTTCTTACCATGGTTGCATACTGTGTAAGATATGTGCATCCATGCAGGCCTGCAGGGTGGGATATAGTGTAAGATTGGATTTTATCTTTTCTTTTCAAGTGAAATGCCAACCTTACACTTTATCCTTTTTAAAAGAGCAAAGTGCATGGCCGGTGTCATCTTGATCATTGTCCTCTCAAAATGCATATTTAAGCCTCTAATCAATGTTCGAGTCTTACAGGTCAACGAATTAGGTCTTAATACAAACAAGGTATCGATGTGGCGTGTGTACATGGTAGACATGGATTTAACCACCCGTTTTCAGGCGCAAATTTGCACAGCTCCTCCTAACACAAAACCAGGACCAACAACTCCATCAAATCCCTAGCCACACAACATCATAGGGGACAAGGAGCAGCCGCCACCATCCCCACTTGCCGTCACCAAGGAGTAGGCGCCTCCTTACCCTTCGCCATGGTAGCCCAGTCGAGCTCCTTGACGGTGGTTAATGGCCATTGTGAATTACCTGAGTACAACACGATGAATTTTAGATAGAACATTTCATTTATCAAGCAAGCCATTAGCTAAACACTTTTTTTTTGCGAATTCAAACTTCCATTCATTCATCCAGGGGGAGCAGGATTACAATCTTCAGCCAGCAAGTGATCAATGCAAATTGGGGCTGCATGCCACTCACCCAACATGATGTCACTTGTGACCTGCTTAGCTAACAAATGGGCAACACGATTACAAGACCGGTTGGCATACAATAAGATGAACTCAGAAAAATTTAAGCTAAGCTCCTTGATCTCACTCAAAATGGGCGCCAGAAACGATATCTGATAATCCCCCCTCGACCACAAATTGGCCAACTCTTGGCAGTCTGCTTCAAGTTGCAGACAAGCTATTCCTCGATCCCGGGCTGCTTCCAGGCCGTCTCTGCAGGCAAGAGCCTCAATCGTCAGTGCATCCAAGCCATGCGGATACCAGCGGGCTCGTCCTACTACAAACTCCCCAGTCGAGCTCCGAAGGACAACCCCCGATGCTCCCTGGCCAACGTCTGCATAGAAGGCACCATCCACATTACATTTATGCCACCCTGCCGGCGGAGGCTTCCACCGTTGCTTAGATGCATTTTAGCTAAACACTCATACATAAGAATTGAGCCAATCAATACAAACATTTTGAAACCAACAGTATCATTTAGCCATTGAACCAACATTCATGATTGTTTTGATGCATAAATTTATGGGAGTTGTTGCATGTAGTGAGCTATAGCCTAGGTTGCAAACCCCACTAGTTAGGAAGTAGCTTATTAGGATCGCTTGTGTTACTAATTAAATTTGCCTAGTGCCATTGATTTTTAGTGGCTACTGTCTATTCACCCACTCTATCCCATTCCTTAGATGGCACAACTAAAAATGTTTATAAACTCAAATGTTCAATTTCAGAGTTGGTGGACCTAACTAAAACCCTGACACAAGTTAATGGATTTCCTATGCATTTAACTCTCATCTCATATTTTAGTATCTACTCATCACTTGGTAAATTCATTATTTCCTCAGTGTCATGTCATTAAAATTTGCCATAATCAACTTAGAGAGTCGAGATTCATTTTCAATCTTCACAAATTTTTATGGTTGATGGCAACAAAACTAATGTTTACAATAAAATTTATTGAAATAAGGATTTCAAATCCATTAACATATGGAAGTCCCTCTCAATAGGTGCATTTGAATGGACTTAAAACAAGTGGCCTTTAGGATACCAATTTGCACGTTCTTAAGATAAAGTGAATGACTTCACCATATATCAAAGCATTCATGGGTGAAAGGTGTTAAGAGAACAATTATGATGCAAATGGCACGAAACTATTGTAATAAGATAATAGATAGACTTATGGCTCATTTGATACTATGGACTAAACTTTAGTCCCTTAAACTTCAGCCTTAGTATCCAAATAGGTGAACTAAAAGTGAACTAATTTTTAGTTTTTAACCTAACTACAAGTTAGTTCATTAGTTGGCAAAGGTGAACTAATATGGACAAAAAGGTGCACATGAGTGTTTGTCCTGATAATTTACTCACTTCTTGTTTACTTTTAGTCTATGTATCCAAACAACACTGAACTAAACTTTACCCACCCAACAACTTTATTCCAACTAACCTTTAGTCCACCTAAACTTATTTCTAGGTGATCCAAACATGCCCTTAACTAGATAAATGTCACATGACGAGATAATAAGGTCCTCCATATTTGAAGGACCAATGTCATGTGTAATCTTCTCATGCTTCCTTCCGATACAATTTTCATATTTTAGGTATAAATTCATTGCAAAACTGAACAGAAATATTAATTCAAGTATTGTCGACAGAATATCGCCGGCAGTCCTCCGAGGGGTATCCCACAAAGATAGATTGATCGGCAGCAGTGCGCGTAATCAAGAACAAGAAGGCAACAGAGACACAAGAGTTAGACAGGTTCGGGCCGTCCGCACGACGTAATACCCTACTCCAGTGGTCTATTGGTTTGTATTGGCTATCGTATGATATTGCGTGTGTTTTGAGAGGGTCCCCTACCCGCCTTATATAACTAGGGGTAGGGTTATAAATCGGTTAGATCTAGGAGATAACCGATAAGTAATAACATGTTACAAGAATCATGGGATCGAGCATATACTAACAGATCTCATAGCATCTTCAGGATATCGCCATTGATGTCTTGAGGTACATATTTGAGAAAGCTGACACCATGCACCGTAAGTCTTCATCTTTGTGAAATGGTTGGACCACTCGGCTCACGCATGTCACCCATGTAGTCTTCATCCAAAGTCATGGGTATCTGGAGTCGTACCCCCCACAGCTAGTCCCCGAGCGCCTTGTATGCGTTGTGCAATGCCGTTTTGAGCTTATCGCCATCATCTTACCAAAGCACAAAAGGTGTAAACAAAAGATTTGCAATACAAATTGATCTTTTCCAATCATCTTGTAGTCGACTCATAGAGTAGGAAGATCACCCTAATGAGTCATTGAAAGGTTGTGGACCAGAATCATCTTCAAACCAGCTTAACTCATTCATTGACCGAGCACGGAGCTTCCCAAGTAAGGCTTGCGGAAGGATGTAAGGAGCTCAAGTTCAAAATCGAAAATTTCCTCGCTGTGAACCAAGTGTGCCCACTTAGAGTCCGACCACGAGAAAGGGAGATAATCTTCTTCAACTTCAAGAGGCACGTAGTCTTCCAATGAACATACTAAAGAAAACACACTCACCGTAAGGTGAAGTGTGCCCACTTAGTCCTTGAGCCTGATAGTAGGTGACGTAGTCACGTGGTGCCAGGGTCTAGAAAGTAGAAGAAAGATGAAGACCAATCCAACGAGCAAGAGCAATCCAAATTCCGGTCCACTTGTGGTGGCCGAGCCTCGAAATCAAAAAGCGCACATTCACCGCAAGGTGAAGTGTGCCCACTTAGTCCCCATGATGTGGTCACGTGGTGCCAAGGTCAGAAACAACACTCCCTAGTATGGTGAGAAACCAAATCATAATGATGACGTAGTCTTTGAGCCACAAGTGGAAATCTCGGATAAATCAAGAAGTGCCGATTACTCAAATCATAAAGAAAAAACCCGAGTAATGACTGTACAGTAGAAATTGCTGAGCCTTTATGGCATTACGGAGAGGTCGGTGAATATTCGGTGTGCAGTACCGATCTACGTCAAAAAATAGGCGATATTGGCCGTAATTGCGCGGAAGCCCAGATAACGGCCCAGCACGCCGCTTTAGGGAATTCGAAGAGGCGTAAATCAGCATGGTGCGGTTTCCAAAAACCCTTGAATGCGAAAAGTCGAGAGGGTGTCTTTATAACTGCGTCGCCGCACTCCACGCTCCCCACCTTTTCCACTCCGTCACTTCATCTTCATCCTCGCCCTCACGCTCCCCCATTCGCATTCACACGTGCTCTGCCGCTAGGGATAAAAAGCTTGCGTAAAGGGACCAGTTCCGATCTAGATCTGATGGATGGCGTCGAAGAGGAGAGGTACTAACGCGAAGAAGGCGGCCACCGGAGCGAGCCGTGATAAGGAATGGGTGCCATCACTCATGGGGGATACGGAGCTCAACGAGATGGTGGAGGCGGGCATTCTTCCAGATCGTGTCACTATCGGATGGCGTCCGACCAATGGTGAGCCCTATCCGATGCCACACATTGACGAACTCGTTGTATTCAAAGATTACTTCTGGCGTGGATTAGGGCTCCCGGTACATCCTTTCTTGCGGGATCTGTTGGAGTATTGGGGAGTGAGCTTATGTAATCTTCATCCGAACACTATTTTGCATATTTCTGTGTTTACCCACTTCTGCGAGGTTTATCTTGACATTCTTCCCCATTTCAATCTCTTTCGATACTTTTTCTGGCTCAAGAAGAAAGGAGGGGGCGGTTCCAAAGTTGTCGGTAGTTTGTATCTATAGCTCCGCGATGGGTTGGTGAGCGAATACATTCCTATGCCGCTGAATACCTCACTGAAGGGGTGGAATACCAGGTTGTTCTATATGAAGCAAACTGATCCTACCGTCCGATGCGATGTCGACCAAATTCCGAAGAATCAAAAGAGCTGGTTGGAGAAACCGACCAGTGTCGATATGGAACAGGTGAAGGAACTCCTTGAGCTAATGAGGGGCATAAAGGTGAGTGGAGTGATGGTGGCGGTGAACTTCATACTGCGCTCGCGTCCA